TCATAGTTTTCTATCTGAGGATAGTGACAAAATTATGCTACATGTGTTTGGCTTGTTGTCTGTCCTTGAAGAAGCAGATCTCTGAGAGATGAGACTGTACTTTAGCTGAAGAATGGTCTTTTCAGTTCAGTTCGTCTCAGAGTTATAGCTCACTGCATAATTTTTATATTAATAAAAAAATTCCAGAACATGACTATACGTGATTTTTCCTCCTTGATTGTGACAGTGACACCAAAGACAAACATAGTAACTCAAGTTCTTTTTCCACTATTATTCTCACAGTTCCTAATCTCCTACTTATATGCTGTGCAGATAGTATTCTTTTTAAAAACAGATGGGAGCTCAGGAGGTGTCTTCGATCTTTCACCTGTACTTCAAAAGAGAAAATGCAAAGCTCTTATTTGTAAATCCCTGGTGATTTTTAATGGAGGCTGCTTTAGGAACACTGAGGGAAAGAAATATTCTAATTGGTTTTGTTTTTCAGTTGAAGAACAGTTTGTTTCCATGTTAAATGAAGTAGTGAAAACAAATAGTATGCCATCTGGCTAGCCTACCTGGATACTTTACCAGGAGGTTTTCAGATGTTCCCTATGCTGGTTTTCAGCATCTTAAGTTCTATATTACTAATGTACTATATTATTAATGTACCTTCCTTATCTAGTTGTTCTTCCCTGTCTAGGAGTTAGCTTATTCCCTGAACTGAATTACAATTTGAAGCATCTGAAACTCTTGAATATGTTTTTCCTGGGTATTGTTGGAGTTATTTATTTTCCGAATTACAAACTCTCCATTGTTTCCAGCATTCATAGTAAATTGCTTATGCAGAGGAATAGGCTTCCATGCTATCTGTGAAGCTGATATTCTCCAGGGATGGGATAACACTGAATAGTCTTTATATGTATCAGTGAGACCTCATTCTCAGAACAGACTGTGACTGAAAGGAAGGCTTTAGCTGCTTTTACATTGCTATGGTAAGATGTCATATGCTTTTGTTTAGAACAGTGTTTTTTTTCTGCTCCAGTTTCTCATAGGAAGCACATACTGGAAAAGGATTTAACATGGCTGGGAAAGTAATGAATTACAGATGTGAATATTTCATTAAAACAAAATATGTAATACTGATTTGTGATTTTTATACTGTTTTTAACATAGAAAAAAACACAAATACTTGTTCACAAGTTATTTTGAAAAGCACTGTGACTATGTAAATGAAACCAGAATGTTTTGTGAAGAAGTGTTTATGGTTATCCTGACAACAGTTTGTCATCTATTATTGATATTGAATGTGCACAGCCAACCCTAAGGGTAGCTCGCAGACGTGACTTCCAAGGCACTCTGTAGACAGATAACAAACAATTTCTGGTGCCAAAAACCTTATGGTCAAAATCAGTATAATTTTACTCAACTTGCAACCAGGAAATAAGAGCAATATCATGGGAATTAACCAACCTGTCACATAGTACTAATGGCACAGTTATGCATGACTGAATGGTTTGAAGGCAATTAATGGAGTAAAATATAATCATATGCACAATTTCTCACATAAATTTAAAGAATGCAGATAAGTTAGAATCACCTTCCCCAGGCTAAATTCATCAGCCACTGAGTACTCTTGTATAGAGGGAACAGACATGAGTTGGAAAAGAGAACATCTTTGAGCAGCTAAGTGGACAGCTGGGATCCTTAAACACCAAGCATTTGGAAGTAGGTGGGGAAAATAAAGAGTACCAAAGAGTTAATAGCAAGTTGCAGAAAGCATCTCAGGTAACAAGGGGTCCATCAGATTTAAATGCAAGGTAGAAAAGAACAACATTTATAATTACCTTACTTGAAAAATAAAAATAGATTGGTGAGGAAGTAGCGAGATGGCTAACCAGCCATTTTATTTGTTTTTATAGGGGAGGCAGATGGAGATCTGACTAAATCTGGGATTGTATCCCCAGAGGCAGTAGCAGGGAAACTAGAAAATGTACAGGCATATAAGATATCTCATTATAAAACATCAGTGTCCCTTGGAGGAACCTAAACTCAATATATATACAACTGTGCTTTTTACAATTGAGTAAGAAAATCAATAAAGTTCCAAAAGTCTTAAATAAATACATACTTGATCAAGTGACTCAAAACAGCTTCACTGAAAACCAAATGATAGGGAAGTAAAGAATGACCTGCATGCCAATGGGAAAACTCTGTCTTTTGAAGCAAAGTTGTGAGAATTCAGTGGGGTCTTCCCAGGTATACAGAATCAGGTATTGCAGACTGTACTTCAGTTGTAAGAGGGGCTTTCTTGACCATATATTTTCCATGCAATGGTCATATTTTCACCTATGTTTTTATGAAACTTCAACTAAACATTACCTTTGAGGACCAAATAAATGAGGAAAATCTTCAGAAAAAAAATCAATTTTTTCACTATATGAAAGACATTGAGGCCCCAGAGAGTATCCAGAGAAGGGCAGTGAAGCTGATGAGGGGTCTGCAGCACGAGTCTTATGGGATGCATCTGAGGGAACTGGATTGTTTAGTCTGGAAGACACTCAGGAGAGACCCAATCACTTTACAATGACCTGAAAGGAACTTGTAGCGAGGTGGGTATTAAACTCTTCTTCTCAGGTAACTGGTGAAAAGACTAGAGGAAATGTCCTCCATTGCATCAGGGGAGGTTCAGGTTGGAAATTAGGAAAAACTTGTTTTCCAAAAGAGTGGTTAAGCATTGGAACAGACTGCCCATGGAGGTGGTTGAGTCACTGTCCCTGGAGGTGTTCAAGAAACATTCAGTGTGTTACTAAGGAACGTGGTTTAATGGGGAACATCAGGGGTAGGTGGAGAGTTGGACTAAATGATTTTAGAGATCTTTCCAACCTAAATTCTATAATCTTAAGGTGAAAAGCAAACACTTTTCCTTTAAGTTTATAATCAGATCTATGTGGCAAGAATGCTACTGCTACCTTTGAAGGGATAGAGAGCAAAGCAAATATCCACAGTTGCAGTCAGGACAGAATGAGTTTAGAGAGTCGAGGCCAATTACCCTGGGAAAGAAGACACGCTGAGGTAATCACTAAGAAACTTTTCCCATTATAAGAAGAGTTAGTAGTTACTGGAGGAGAAATACTGACCTGACTCTACCTGTGTTTCTCTGTTTCTACAGATGGTTTCCCAGTTTCTGAAGCCTCTTTAACTGAAATATTTCTCACATTGATAAGGTTATTGGAAGAAGCAGATAAAAGGAGCATTGGAAATGCTTGAATGTTTCTGCAGAAGAAGACCCATGGAACGTGCCTTGGAAGAATTTCTGCTTGATGTTTTTGCTCCTTTCACTTTATTGTTATTTCCATGTTGGCCTTAAGAGATGACCAAAGAGGCAAATCTCCATCTGCAGCATTAGGACACTAATTTCATATTTTGCAGAGACCATCAGTAATATAAAATCTACATTCATACCTGTTGTGGTTAGATGCAGCTTTTCTTCTAAACAAATGAGAATAAAATTTTTTGCACCTTAATTCTCGTAAAAAGTACAATGTTCAAGTGAAGGAAGGCTTTCTCACAAGGAAGGAAGGCTTCCTCACAATAAATAGGTTTTGACATATATAAAATAGATCAGTGTTTTGAGCTCACCTGTTGCCTTGTTTTTCCAGAGAAAAATTTCTTGGCCTATATCTCTTGCAGGGTAAGTCACACCATCACACTATGAGGGTTGCTCTAAGTCTTCCAGTAGTGACCTGTCCCCATAATCTGATTCAGGACAGTGTTGGCCTTTAATATTGTTATCTAATATTTAATATAATAGTTAAGCTTGACAGGAGATTTTTCCCAGCTCTTGGGATTTCTCCACTGATTTTGGGTTGCAAGCCTCCCTCAGAGGTTTGCTTACATGCACCATCCTGCACGAATCTAGTCCTCTCAGTGACAAACTCAAGTCAATTTGTTCTCAATAATTGATGAATTAAAAAAAAACTAAATGGAGTAAAGAGCAATGGTTTGTACAGTGGAAGGCTTAGATGAAATACTCTGTAAAGGCCCTTACAATTATGGGTTAAATGTTGGTGTTTCTGACAAGAATAGTTCAAAGGCAGAGCCAAGATACACTTTCACACAAACTGTTCTAAGCCATACACAATTATCTGTCTACTATTACATCTCCCTGTAGGAGGCTGATGGTTACCATTCACTGAAATGTCATTTAAAAAGATCATAAGTCTACTAAATGGAAATGCATTTGCTCTGAAGAATGTTGCGGTATTCACGCGGGTTCTTAAACATTTTCATCTTAACAGCTAGTATGATGGCCATTGTAGACCACCTTCCAATTTGAGATTGAATAACATCTCTATGGCAACCGCCACCACTGCTTACATAGAAAAATAATATTTCATGAACATAATATTCCTTGTTCGTTACAATAGGACTTAACAGCTGGATACGAAGAGAAAAATTCTGATTTTTTTTAAGCCTGATAGATTTGGAGCTTTTCAATTGTATTTTGGAAACTGTTACTCAAGACTACATCAAGTTTGTTTTGGAATGGACTAAAAGATAAACAAATATTGACATGCTGGATATTGCCAGTGTGCAGTCACACAGGACATTCCTTTGGTAGATCATCCTTGATGGATACTTTGTGTCTGACTTACCTGCACCAGCCGGCCTTCATCATTTCCCTGAGCTGAGTTACTGCAGGGGAGGGGTACACCAGTAGCTCCTCCACCAATGTCCCAGTGTGACCAGTTTGAGCGCTGGGTTCTTCCCATTATGTCATCCATCCTTCCACGAGGGCCTCAGACAAACTCAGAATGTCTGGGCAAACACACAAACAAAAGAAGCTGTTCTCAGCTTCCCTTTCTCACTGTAGGATGCATCAGAAAATGTTTCAAGGCCATCAGCTGTTTCAGGTTAGAGTTCAGATCTCTGCTCTGCGAGGAGTTTGTGGGAGGTAACGGACCAGAGGAAGGGCTATTTACTTCAGATTTCACGTTCTAACAGGACGGCTACTTCAAACTCGGAAAAATTCTTGAATTATGAAAGAGCCCATTGAACACAGGAGCACAAACAAAGTATGAGGCAATTCGGAACAGTATTAAGTGTTCTCCACGAGCTGAGAAAAGATCCTGCAAGCGGGTTTTCTCCAACCCACGCTCAACGTTTTTGTTTAGCAGAGGAATCAAGCACCGTAGACCCCCCCACCCTTTGGTCCGCCCGCACCTGAGCGGCTGAGGCGGGGCGGGCCGTCGGACGCATGCGCTGGGGCGGTGGCAGCGAGCGAACCGCAGGGGTCCGGAGGAGTTGGGACGCGTGCCCTCCCCTGAGGAAGAGCCGGACTGCCGCGCCCGCCGGCACCGCGCCGCTCGCCTAAAGCCGGCTGCCGAGGTAAGGGCTGGTGCGGCGGGGACCTTGCTCAATGTCACGGCGGGATGGGGACGGGGCTGCGCAGGTGAGGAGCGGCGGCGGGCCGGGTTTTCCCGCTCCTCCGCGGCGTCTCCCGCAACCGCGAGTCTGAGTGGGGAGAGCGCGAGGCGAGCCCTAAGTAGGTCAGCGCTGAGCGTATGGCCGTTCCGCGTCTCGGGGTGCGGGCTGTGCCGTTCCCGGGGCGGGACGGAGACCCGCTATCCTCGCTCGCGTAGCTCAGCGGGCATCGCCCAGGTTTCGGGGCAGGTGGATTTCTTTAGGGATGATGGAACTGACCTCTGTCAAGGAGCCGTCCCGGTGAGCTAGCGGCCGGCGCTGGCTCTGGGCAGCACAGGTGTCTCCGTCGCGAGCCCCGCGGTGCTGGTGGGCGCGCGCACAGCCGCGAGCGCCCTCGTGCCGGGGAAGCGGCAGAACTTTCCTGCCCACGCGGCAGTGCTGCGGGATGAGCGCCCCGCGGGGCTCAGTGTGGGCACGAGGTCTTCGCTTTGAGCACGAGCGGCGTGGGGAAGCTGGGATGAGAGGTAGTTCTAAAGCTCTGTGAAGTTGAAATACATCTTAAAAGTGAGCGTCTAACTGCAGCAAGCTGCTGCTTACTGGGAAAACGGTAGCAGAAATAGTATTGTTTGCATCCTCTTTGCTGCAGTATCAGTGATATCTTGCACAAGGTATAAAACCAGCCTTGTTACTGTCCAGAACCCGCACGTTCTCATGCCTGAATGCAACACGACACAGCAGTGCAGGAGCTGCACCGTAAGGCCACATGTAACGGTGCGAGCACGGACCTGAGGGCGGCTGGCTCGCGGGGTGTGAGCTCCGTTGTGCGGGGCAGCGCCGTGCGCCTCAGCGGGCGGCAGCCCCACCAGCAGCCGGCCGGCCTGCCTGGTGCGCGGGGACCGGCGAGGGGAGAGCGCTGCCTGTGTGCAGAGCTCAGCCGGCCTGGGAGGGGTTTGCCTGGGTTATGTTGCTTCTCCTTTCTCAAATGAGTTCTGTTGCTGTTCTCTCCCACTCATCAGGTCAGTGCGCTGCTTAGAGGGAGGTGGTTTGTTTTTTTTTCTGCTTTTTGAGTGCTAAGGTGTTTTTCCATGTCTGCGAATTCATTCTGAGCCCTTCTGGTGTTTGGGATCCTTGCATGGCTTTTCCATAACTCATGCCTTCTAGTGAGCAGGGTTTGGTGTGGTAGCTGCCAGGCAGACATGAAATGGAATTGTGAAATTGGTTACACAAACTTTTTTTTTTTTCTATTATTTGTTTAAATAATCCATGAAGTGGTAAGAAATTAAAAAGGAAACGATCTTCTTATGTGGTATCTTCATAAAGGTACCAAATTCCTGTGCTTTTCCCTGATGAGTAATATGAAGGATGCTTGCTTAAACTCAGAAGTGTTAACTAAACTGAGGCAGTATCAGGGGATTCTGTGATCTCACCTCCTTATACCTCGGCTGGAGCCATCCCAGCCCCTCTGTTCTGTGCTGGTCTCTGCCACCGGAGGCAATGGCTGTATCACACCTGCTCAGCCTGTCCTAAGTGACTTGTCTTAGCTGTTCCCATCTCATTCCCCTCTTGGATTTCTTCAGTGAATTTTTAATTGAGAGGATGTCTTCCTACTTGACTACGTTTGTTCAGGGATAACATGGCACAAGAGCAGGAAAAAGCCCTGCAGAGGATAATAATCTTTGAAAGGAGTGTATGCCTGTTAGCTAATTAGCTGGGAAGTCGTTAGATTTCAAACAGCAATGAGGGTTGCTGCATAAAACCTAACAGATGCTGAAGTGTCACTGCCGTCCTTGCTCTTCAGGTTATCACAAGGGACTGTGGTTCGTGAGTATTTGCTCTATGAATTTGAAAATCTATGAGATGAGGTGGTAGTATTGATTTAAAAATGAACATATGGAACAGCTGTGGCTGTCTCAAACCTTAAAATGTCTGTCAGGCTGTGCTGGGCTGTAACAAAAGTTGGGTGCAGTGTTTATTCTAGTGTGCTGAGATATGCTGCAAAGCTTAAATCATTTGTAGTTAATAGGAAGAAAAGACAATCACAGTTTGGATAGTTTACATTCTGAAGTTCTGTTATCAGTTTGTTTTAAAACCATCAGCATTCCTTCAGTGTTAACTTGTAGCAGACCAGAAGTTACAGAACTGAAATATTTCATTTCATTCAGAAAATGGTAGTACTTAATGTTTGTCAGCCATCGTGGTACAAAGAGGAAGCTCTTACCAGATGTGAGCCTGTATTGCCTCTGACACAGTGAAGGCAGAGGTAGGTGCCTAAGTGCTACAATATCTCAGTGGTTTTAAGGGAAATACACCCAAATCCAGACCACACAGGCATTGTGTTCCCTCAGGTTGGCAAATTCGCAGCAAGCTGAAGGAATTACAGGAACTTCACTCCTGTGTGATCCTAACATCCCACTAGCTGCATGGCTTGGTGGGTTTGCCCCAGGAACTCTGCTTGCCTAGCTCTACAGAGGCACTGCAGGAATTAGTCAAAGGACTATTTTCTATTCCAGTTTTGCTCACAAGTGTAAAATGCACAGATTCTCTTCAGAGATAAAACTCCTCTTTGTACTGCAGCTCCAGAAAGTGCATTTAATCTTTCTATGGGAAGTTGGTTTTCGTATTTTCTTAACAAATGAAAATGTTTTTTTAAAGCAAAATGCTTTTATATGCCTTCTTTTAAACACTTTGAAAAGTTATGCTGTAAAGATTTTAATTAATGTTTTTCATAAAATAATCTGTTTTCACTTTTTATGCAATGCGCAGAGCGAGTCAGGGAATTAAGTCAAAAATGAAGTCTGCATAGTGCAGTCATTTGACTGCATTCTACCTTGTTGGAGACAGTGCTGAAAAACAGTATCTAGTGTTCCAGTACAATTCTTGGCATCAGTGGCGTGTTGGTAAACTGCAGGATAACAAAGCACCGAGTGTTTTGTTTCAGTATAATGTGTTTTTAATGACAGGAGGTCAGGATCTTACTGTGCCTCTCCCAATCCTTCCAAAACCACTAAGAAAAAACCCAACCCTTTTTTGTTTTGCAATTCATCTCATTTGTTGAAGATAAGCTGATGTATTTCCATAGTGATGATTTGTTCCCATTAACCTCCACAGCTTTATTGTGTTTCCTTTACAGATGAGTGTTCTCATCAGATTGTCTGCAGTAATTCTTTTGAATATCTCTACATTGTGAAGTGTAGAATCGTCACATATATGTTGTGCATTCTACATGCAACTGTGATTTTTCTCACGTGTGAGCTAAAGCTGACATTGCTTTCTATAAACATATTAATTGATGTGTTAAAAATTCATTGGAGAACTTGATCTGCCAAGGCTTGTAAAAATAGAAGCCTTGTAAACCAATCTAATTGTATCAGTGCAGTTCCAATCCTTTTCTTATTGATACTGGCACCTTACTATTTTGCTACTGTTGCACTGCCAGGCAGATCTTTAAAGGGCAGGTGGTGCTACTGCACATCTAGTTCAATTGCACTGTTCATGTTATTGATGATTGCTTGGGTATGCTGGTAGGGGAACATCAGAAATGCCTAGTTCCTTGGGATTACTCTCTATCACTTTGTTTATTGGCAACAATGTTTTTAGTGTTAAAAATCTATAATGTGGGAATTTAAGGGGGAGAAGTAGCAAAAAAACAAACAAACAAACAAAAAAAAAAACTTTTGCTTCCTCTTGTACTTATTTAGACACCTAAAGTCCTTTTTGTTTTGTGTTTGTCTTTTCATTTACATAGCTTTCTTTGTTTAGGACTCATTTTATAGGCTTTAAAGTTGGTCTCAAACAGAGAGACTGCATAAGTAGTTTTCAATTTACAAATTGACATTGAATGCACATCCTTCTGTGGCAGAATGCAGGATATGCATAATTGCATCTCTTCATTCATGGTTCTCCAGACCTTTTCCAGGCTGTTTTGCTTGATGACGAGTGATGGGTTGTTGTGTTGGTGAAGATTTATTCTGGAGTACATTGGACAGTGTTTCATTACTCTTAGTTTCCTATTGGAGATTTATCTATTCGCTGCAGAGATGCCAAAATGAGAGGGCTTGGGGCATCCCATTTGAATATAGTAGACTATCAGGTCTCTTTAGTTCTACTGCAATTTGATAGAGCTTCAAAGATTAGTTAGTTTTTTTCTTCTCTCCTCATTTTGAATCACACTGTACTAATGCTGTTTCTCATACCATTGATCCTTAAACTATAATGTGATTTTTATGCAACTTGGCTTGCTTTTTCAGTGTTTGTTTCTATACAACTATCAGGTAGGAAAATGACTTTATTTTTCCAAGTCAGGGAAAGAAAATAACTTTGAGCATAGAAATTCATTACCAGAACTTATCCCTGAGAAGATGAGTTTGGTTAGGGTATGAAGTAAATGCTCTCAAACTGTGTGTACTCTGCCCTGGTCAGCAAGGCTTCTAAAGAAAGTATTAGAACCTCCTAATGGGATTTTATAATGGAAATGCTAATAGAAGCCAGCAGAAGAGTACCTGGTCTCTATCTTTGCGTGACTGCATATGACAAAGAAGAAAATTGCTTAATCTTGCTTCCTTTGGCTACCAGCTAATAATTGGATGGTGAATCTTTGACTTGGAATTGCAAATGTGTGTGCCTACATGCATGTCAGCTGTCTTTTAAAATGAAGTTATTTAATACATGTTACTAATTAAGAAAACCCCTTATAAATCAGTGTCAAAGCTTTACAGGTGAAGATTCTGCCTTTGTTTTTGCAGTCTCTTCTGCAGTGTGGGGGCACTCTGTGTCAGAGCTGGGTTTTGCTGAGGCTGGGGGCCTCTGCATTGTCAATGCCTTCTGATGTTTCACCTGCTTTCTTGCTAATCAGCAAAACAAGCATACCTTTATTGTACCTATAACAGACATCACTGGTGCAGCATAGAACTTGTAAAGTTAACTACTGGAAAATTAGGAAGCATGAGAAATGTTGTCTGTGTGCC